TCACGGACCGCGAGATCGTGACCTGGCTGAAGTCGGACGCTTAACCGACTGCGCCACCCAGGCGCCCCTTAACAGTTTTTTAACAAGGGGCTCTACATTTTTCTATTGCACTGGGGGGGCCCCTTCACATTTTGTAACTGGTCCTGGGGCCGAGCCTTATGCTGGTGGGAGAAGAGAGGGAGAGAGAGAGAAAGCAAACAAGGAAAGAAGGAGATAAAAGGCTGTATTTAGGAAACCATGTGTGGTATGAATGCATTTCTATAAAATCAGGTACCGAGGTAGACGTGCACAAACTTAGCGAATATAGAGCACAAATGGACTTTTAGTACGGCGTGCCCCAAATGGAAGCTAACTGTGAAACTAAGTGTACTAAAAGGAAAGCCACATAAGAAATATTAAAAGACGCGTCATCATCGAATAAAGATGGTCTCTTTGGTAGGCTCAGAAAGAATGACAGAGCCTCGAAGAGAAAATCATTAAAATAATTAAATCTTTTTCTTCCCACGTGGCTCCGTGTTATTGGATACTAAACTCGGTTATGCTGTGTGCCCCACAAAATCATCTTGAGTGGTGCCCCCCTCCCCGTTCTGCAAAAGTATGGACCCACAGGGATGAGAGATGGAGGGGAGGGCTCCGACAGGGGGGAGAAAAGCTTACCCCCCCAGCGCAGGACGACGGACAGCAGCTTTTCCAGATGGCCCCGAGCAGAACGGGACAGGACCCTGGACAGGGTAGCCAGGGGAAGATGCCAAGGGAACGTGAAATGTAGGCGACCGAGGACAGGAAAAATGAAGAGTCACCTTTCCTGGAGGCTGAGAGACACTTGTCCTCCTCTTGTGTCACCCAGGCCCGTGGGACTCCCTGGGGCTTGGAGAGCTGGGGGACATGGAAAGGGAAGAGGCGTAGACACTGAAGGAGAGGCCGAGGCCCAGCTGGCCGGCCCAGTGTCAGAGCAAGTGGGGGAGGGGAGCTGTCAGGCCCCTTCGGGGTCACCAGAACACCGCCCTGGGCACACCAGGCACACGGGGTGAGAGAAACACCAGCTGAAGGCTCCAAAGATGTGCCGAGAAAAGCATAGACGTAATAAGTGCTTGCCGAGAGGGTGATGCTGCAGGGCCGGGGTTTGGGGGAAGGCAGGGTGGAGACGGAGGGCTACAGCCACGTACGTGGAGGGGGCCCACAGAGAGAACCCCACCCAGCCCGGCTTTAAGCTTCTGAAGGTCTTCTGAGACCCAGAGGGAGCCCGAGTTCGGTCCCCCATTCTGTCCTCTCCTTGAACCCTGGATTTTTTCCCTCCGTGGCCCCAGTCGCATGCAGTTACGGTGGTTTTAGTGATGTGCTGTTGATTCCCATCAGGCCCGCTAGATTCTAAGGGTCACAGGGACAGGGATGTTCCATATCCCCAACACTTGGCACAGTGCCTTGCTCAGAAGAGATGCTAAAAGGATATAAATAAATGAAATGTGATCTCTACTACAGAAAAAAAAAAAAAAAGCATAGGAAAAATAAAAACACTAGCAGGAAATATGCCCATACGGCGAGTTTTGTTGTTTTCTCTCTCTTTCGGTTGCTTTAAATTTTTAAAATCTTCTACGACAAATTAAAAATCAAAGGTCTCCAAAGAAACAAGCGGGCCTTTTTTTCGGGGAGAACATGTGGTTGGCTCGCAATACTAATACAATGAGTTTTTTTAGTGTTTCTTTATTTTTGAGAGAGAGAGTGCGAGCCCAAGTGGGGGAGGGGCAGAGCTGTCCGCACAGAGCCCGACACGCGGGGCTCGAACTCATGAACCACGAGATCATGACCTGAGCTGAAGTTGGACGCTTAACCGACTGAGCCACCCAGGTGCCCCCACAATGAGTTTGAAGCCAGCTGTCCACTCATTCCGCTCACCCGAGCCTGTGGAGAGGGTCCGGCAGACCACGTGGCCAGTGTGGCCGTGTCAGCCAGAGCCACACTCACACCTGGAGGCGAAACAAAGAGCTCGTGTGCTCCGTGGGTCAAGCCGTTTCTTCTCTGGTAAATGTCAGGATTGTTGGGGGCAGAGTGGAGGGGTCACACCGGGGCTGAGTGTTAGAGGAGGCGGGTCCGGGCTGATTTCTATCATTGGCTCTCTGTGTCACCTCGGATGGGTCTTTTATACTCCCCGGACCTGTTTTCTCACTTGCAAGACAACAGACTGATAGCTTTCTGGTCTCTTCTAGTCCTTCGATCCTTTCATTATAATTAGATAAAATATATAATGAAAGGCAACTCTAATGAACACTCACTGTATGCCCCAGAGATGATGAGTATTATCAATGCGCTTTAATCCCATGTAGTATCTATTCGAATCCTGAAACTATCCTATGAAGTGGGAACTATCAGCCTCCCTGTGTCATCACAGAGAGAACTGCAACACAGAGAGGTTAAGCAAATCACCCACGGCCGCCCAGCTGGTCAGCATTAGAGGCAAGCGTAGAGCCTGGGCAGTCTGGCTTCAGAAGCCACCCTTAAACCACTACATCGTACGACTTCCAATATCCTGTCGATATAAATGGAAAATGTGTCCTGTGCTCTCAGTCTATCATTACAGGGGGCGGTTCACCATATGCAAAGAGTTCGTATGTACCAAAGCGGCAAGAGGAGTAGAAATCTGGAGATGTTAGAGATCCTTTGGTCCAAAATGGAGAACTGTGTTGTGCTGCACTGTCCGATATGGTTGCAATGTTCATTTTATTTTAACGCAGTTCGTTTAAATGTCATCTTACAAACTGATACTTGATCCAGTCGTTGGAAAACTTCAAAAACCGTTCGAGCTGCTTAGATACGTGAATCTACCTTTGCCATAGCGAATTTTATGAAATCCGAATACAGATCAAGTACTGCTGATGAAACTTTAGGGTCCGGACTGAGATGGGCTTTAAATGCCAAGTATACACCATATTTCGAAGACTTGGTAAGAAAAAAAGTGGACTGTGAAATAGCTCATTAATAACTTTTTATATTGACAGCATGTTGAGATGATATTTTGGACATATGGGTTCAGTTAAAATATATCATTATGTTAACTTCATCTGTTTTCACTTTTTAAAATGTGGCTACAGGAGAATTTAAAATGACCAATGTGGCTCACATCCTATTTGCATCAGACAGCACGATGTGGGGGAGAACATGGGCCTTGCATCCACAGGCTTGGACAGGAGACCCAGCCCTGCCCTTACTAACTATTTTTTTTAAGTTTATTTATTTATTTTGAGAGAGAGAGAG